CGGGAAGGAGGGAGGCCAGCTGGACCCGCTCCGGTGATGGTTTGGCAGCCGCCGCGGGAGCATCTGTAAGACCAGCCTGAGTTGACTTGGGGGGGGCTCCCTTCCTCCCCGCCCCTCCTTCCCGCCAGATAATTGGGGCATCATCACCTGGACGGGAGGGGGGGGAACGAAAGACGCCATGGGGCCGAGATCTCCCTGTCTTTGACAATGGGGCGGTTGCGAAAGCCACGGGGAACACCCCGAGGAGTAAACCCACCTTGGGCGATCGTCTGTAAGGACCACTTGCTCTCTCCCTCCGGCCTTTCCAAATGGCCTCCTTTCTTCTACCAAACACCCCAGGCTTTGTCGCCATTGGCTTTTGGGCCTGTGGGTTTGAGAAAGAGGTGGCTCAGGGTGCCACTCTGGCACGTGAGCCAACAAGGGGGGACATGGGCATTGCATGAAAACCCATGACCTAAATATACAGATGCAAAGGTAGGAATGCTTTTAAAAACAATTGCAAGAGACCTACAACACGGGAAGGTCCTGGCCAGATAGCGTAAGTGCCTTCCAAGTCTGCTCTCCAGGGTACTAATTGTGGATGGGCAATTTCAGGGTCTCAGGTCTCTTTCCATATAGTTCTTTAAAGCAGAGTTGAATCCTACAGCTCTTAACAGAGGACACTATCGACATGGAGGTTGCGACAGCCCTCAAAGAGAACACAGAGACATCTATTCAGCAATGCACACAAGACTTACAGAACATCTACAAATGGGCATGAATGGGTGCTTAACCTGATCTCCCATCCCACTCATTATATCAGTACCAAGCCACGACAGACTTGAACATTTCTTGTTACTCTAACTGCACGCCTTCCACCCTCTACGTTAGACTTCCTCTACTGGCTGCCTTCCGGATGTCTTCAGAGTGCAACACCCATCATCCTTTATGCTCAAAGAAACTCTCATTCCCCTCCTGGGAGGGGCTAGAGGAGATAGTACAACCTGTAAGGAAGGTGCCAGGTTTGTGAGAGGTTGATTTGCATTTCGATCCTCTGCATCTCCTTGATGTTGCCCTCTTTGAGAATTCTAGGCCTCAGAACCCCCTGTGGGGGTGGGACTTTGGAAATGTCACCCTTTTAAAATGTGCAAACATAAATGTGCAGTTTTATCAAGTGATATAAATCATGTCCTCCCTTTCATGTTCAGCTATCGATGCAAGATATGCTGTAAACATCACTTTTTCCCTAGCAAAATGTAAACAAGAATTGCATTAGCCACACTGATATAATGCCCCCTCACACACACTATAAGGGACGTGGTGGCACTTTGGGCTAAAGCGCAGAAGCCTGTGCTGCAGGGTCAGAAGACCAGCAGTTGTAAGATCGAATCCACGCGACAGAGTGAGCGCCCGTCGCTTGTCCCAGCTCCCGCCAACCAAGCGGTTCGAAAGCATGCAGATGCAAGTAGATCAATAGGGACCACCTCGGTGGGAAGGTAACAGCATTCTGTGTCTAAGTCGCACTGGCCATGTGACCACGGAAGATTGTCTTCGGACAAAAACGCTGGCTCTATGGCTTGGAAACGGGGATGAGCACCGCCCCCTAGAGTCGAACATGACTGGACAAAAATTGTCAAGGGGAACCTTTACCTTTACCTTTACCACACACACTATGATACACACTATCATTCTTCCAAGTTCCTTTCCCCAAAAGCACTCTGCATTCTATGGCATCAAATATGCCCAATCCTCATTTGGCTAGGGGTACAAGTGGTGGAAGCTGCCCTTCAGGGTTACTGAACTCCTGCAAACTTTGGGGTTCATCTGGGCATTATAATACTTCCTGCCAGCTCTTTTTCAGTGACCCTGTTTTGCTTCTTGTCCTGTTGGCACACATCAGCTGAGTTCACTGTTAGAATCAGTGATGGTCAATTGATGTCTTGGAGATGGGAAGCCCATGTGTGGTGTTTCTGCCTTGATGGAATATAAGTTTACCTTTTCAGTTTCTCCATTTAATTAGTTTCCACCTCTAGATTTGTGGTAGCGATCCTCTTTTTGGCTGAGGTCATATTTCCTTATGGGTGGGAATTTGAGTTAAAATGTGGGAGCCTCTCCTCCTTCTATCATGCCTCCTCTGAAATCTGAGCCAGCCCTATTATTGGGTAGAGTGAGGAAATCTCCTCATGCTTCAGATCCTGGGAAGCAGCAGAGCCAAAAGCTCTGTGTCTCTTAACTCCATTCCTTCCTTATAGTATAGGAAACTGTTGCCCTGCATTTGAAATAATACTTTGGAGAATGTTTTAAATCTGTTACTTAGTGCCTTGATATTTTAGTCTGTTGTGGTTTTTTTTTTAATGTTCCTAATCTGGTTTGATTGCTTCAATGTTATTGTGAATCATTTTGGCAACCCTGGTAGACCAAAAAAAAGGGATGAGCAAATGCTTTAAATAAATGAATGAATAGCTAGGGCAAAATCCAACTGAAATTTTAAGTCAGCATCACACAAGTGGCATAAAACTCATTGACAAATTATCAAAAGATTTCGAGTTAGCACAAAAATTTGCTTTCACATGCTGAGTTGTGTGAGTTGACACACAACACTAAATGCCTACGCTGACTGTTTCACTTTGAGCAATTTGCTTCTTCTGAGATCTTCCAGCTCATGTACAGTGTTGTGTTTTCCACATGATATTGAGAAAAACACAACTTGTCTTGGTGTGTAGTATATGGTGGGCAACTATTTAGTGTTCTGCCTTAAAAAACAAAATATCTCAGGCCCAACATTGGACAGACCTTATACAGTATTTTATTTTCCCTTCTTTTTTCTTAGGCCTCTGCTCTTGGACAAACTAAATAAATAAATTCTGCAGCAATTGATTCCATAAGCCTGGAGTTTTTCCTTATCAAATACACTCAGATATGTCCTTTTTCTTTGTCCTGGATGTATCATCAATCAATTTCATTGGATAACATCCCATTCAAGTGCTTTAGGAGTTGGTAGGAGAGAACATTTCTCTTTGTTTTTCCTTTTTCTTTGGAGGACATTTAATATTAGAAACCTCTGTGATGTCCCTGTTCAGTCTGTACTATCTGTGCCTCATCAAAATTCCTTTTGTGTAGGTCAAGAGAGGCGTAAACATCAAGTGATAAAATTTTTGTAATGGCATTATGATACTTTATATTACCCTGGCCATTACAGGGATGTGGCTTAACTAAATATTAGAGGAATAACACTGGATGGTTCATAAACAGCTAAGGTGGACAGGAGGAGAGCATGTCTTCTAGCACTGCTATTAAATTTTCTAACTAAAAGGTAACTAGTTACTTTTGAGAAATAGAAAATTGAAGTTTAACTACAGTGGTAGCCACTGTATTGGGAACTTGCAACTATAGCCACAAACTATACATTACAGTGGTGCCTCGCTAGACAGTTACCCCACATGACAGTTTTTTTTGCTAGACATTGACTTTTTGCGATCGCTGTAGTGATTTGCAAAACAATGATTCCTATGGGGGAAATTTGCTGGACAGTGTTTGGTCCCTGCTTCGCAAACCGATTTTTGCTAGACGACGATTTTGACAGCTTCCTCCGCGCTCGCAAAACAGGTGTTTTCGGCACCTAAGCTTCGCAAGACAGCGATTTAAACAGCTGATCAATGGTTCGCAAAGTGGCTTTCCTATGGCCGATCTTCACTAGACAACGACGATTCTTCCCCATTGGAATGCATTAAACAGTTTTCAATGCATTCCAGTGGGGAAATGTTTTTCGCTAGATGATGATTTCACTAAACTGCGATTTCAGTGGAACGGATTATCATCGTCTAGCGAGGCACCACTGTAATTACT